TTGGTTTAAGATAGTTGATGTTTAAGCAACCAGGTGGCAACTAATCATTCATTACCAAAAGTGATCCCAGTATTAGTGGCCATGCTTGGAAGATCGCAGGACGTCGTCCCTCGCGTTTGAGCGAGACAGAGGCGATTGAAAAATCCTTGGGTGCGGGTAGTTTAGTGCTTTAATCTGCTTTGGGTAGAAAAAAAATGGAGCGCATACTAAAGATTTAATAAAGCAAACAATCCGAGAGCTTCTGAGAAAGGGCATCGAAGATTGGCTTCTGCGTTTTCTTCTGCCCCAATGGGTTCTACGTGTGATCTCCACTTATTACCCCTGCAGCTTGACACAGATATGTTTGCCTTGAGCAAATGCAAGTCCGACAGGTGAGAAATTGGATCAATTTGTGACTTCAGTAATACTTCAGTCATGTCTTTCCTTGAGGCTTTGGAGATGGTCCATGAATTGAAGTCCAGTATCAAGGAGCGCATACCAGATGGATGATTATGGATGGTTCGCTGGGGAATCGCTGATGTCATGGCTGACCAAGCTCCAAGGCTGGCTCGCTGATCAACGGTTTACCTCTGCACAAGGATCAGATGCTGAAAGAAGAGCGTGCAGGTGGTAACCTCCAGTGCCTGCTTCACTTGGCTCATCCCTTGGTAACTCTAATGAATAACGCATATATATATAAATAAACAGTGTGTATATATATATACACTATACATTTTTTTTACTGTGTGTATTTATATATATATTATATATATATGCTTACACACATATATATATATATATGTATGCATTTGCATATATATTTACATTATACATATTTATATATATATGCAAATATACCTATAGATAGATACAGTATGCATATATATATATATATACACTTACATAAACATTTATATATGCGTATATACACATACACAGAATACATATATATATATATATGCATATGTAGTTAGATGCAGTATACATATAGATACACACACACATATATTTACATATATATATATTTGTGTGAGTGATAGACGATGTAGTTTTTTGTGATATAATGTGACAATATATGACAAACACATATGTGTATATATCTATATGTGTGTGTATGTATGTATGTATGTACTGAAATTTAACATCGTTAAATATCCGTTTTCAGCAACCAGGTTCTCAAGTTTATTCGATAATTGCAGCCTCTTCATCAGTGTTTATGCTCTTAGAGTTGGGATTTGTGAATGTGTTGCCATCGATAAATTCATACATTCATACTGCTAGGCTAGAAGGCCACACTTAGATGGGCAATGGGAAAGCCGGGATTCCTGGCTAGTAACTCGGTTTAGTAACATCACAAAAACAAACAACTATCATCTATTTACAAATTATATCCCAATTAAAATCCATTTACATAATGACCACTATATCCCAATCTAACTAGTAACTGGTCAGTAACTGGATTTAGCGCTTGTTAACAAGCAAACCATGGCTCGTTCAAGCGAGGTTTTCCATAACTTCACTTCAGCATATGAAATATGCATGATGATGTGCGTGCCCTGTCAACTGTTGTGATTTTTTTTACCTTGTACACTCAACGTTTGGAACGCCCATTTGACGGAAAGTGTTGGTGTGGGTTGAAACCAAATCGAGTAGTTGTTACTAGTCATTATTGTTGATTGATATCCGCGTTTCAGTGGTCAAAATCCTAGTTCCAATGGTTGCTATCCCCCGTTTGTGTTGGCCAACCACTATAGAAATGTACTTCACTCCCATTTTCCTATATGATGTTATTGTTCTGTTTTTTTTCTCTCAGTATTGATACATATGTCGTAACTTCATCATGTTAGCATAGGGTTAGCATATTTTACCATGGTCCTATGGATCCAAGTACCTTCTCAGGAAGCATTTGGGCTATGACTTGCAAAGTTAAGTACCCTCTCAGAAAGTATTTGGATCTCCATAGGGCAGATGTCATTATCGAGTTTTACATTGTTTTATCCATAGTAACCATAGTAAACCAATCCAAGTATAGTAAAACCATATGTTATTATGTCACTATAGTAACTTCGTCACCCCTCGGTTTCCGTAAACGACCTCACCGAAGGCGTCCACGGTCACACGAATGCAGCATTCGCAGTCGACCGGTACCGTCAAAGAGGCGGCCACCGGGGACATCGGTTTCCATTAAAGGCGAATCCTACATTCATGGGACAATAACTAACATAAAGGGGTAATAAATATCAATCATCATGGGAAATACTTCTAAATAGATCTAAATAGTTCATTGATGTTCATTGTACAAAAGTCAATGCTTGGGTGTGCATCCCAATTAGTAAGTGGGTTATAACCCACTAATCTAACTGGGGTATGCCCTATTCATATGATATTTAGTAGTCCCTTACTGGCTGGGATGCTGATGGAAGTAATAGGTCCGGTTTTCCCTTCAATGACTTTAGATACCCCTAGAAACCACTTCTTCTTGATTTTGTATCGGGCCTATTAATTTGGGGGTCCCTTGTAGGGCATTTAACTTGACTGAATAGGAAACGTGCATGCATATACTGCACATATGAATAAATAGTCTCCATAGTTGATTCCTCGACTCTTTGAACAGGCGAACCAAAATTGTGCATGGAACAAAAGACTATATATATATACAGACAGTGTTTAAACAAATAAAACACATATTAAATTATTATATTGAAATAGACATAGATGTTGTTTAGGTAGAATCGTATAGATGCCCATATTTCTAATTTCTAATGGTTTGCTTTCGGACTCCCCATCATTTGGAGCACCAGTCACTTAAGGCAACGACCTTGACGGAGGAGGCGTGGCACGCGTGGCACGATGGTGAACCCCAGGCCGCCCATCAAAAAAGGGGGAAATACATGTGATTACTAGTGATTAATGATGATTTTATGGTGATTAATGGTGATTAATGGTGATTAATGGTGATTAATGATGATTTTTTGGTGATGAATGGTGATAAATGGTGATAAATGGTGATAAATGGTGATGAATGGTTATGAATGGTTATGAATGGTGATGAATGGTGATGAATGGTGATGAATGATCCATATCAGAAACTCGACCCATGTTGGGTAACATATTAGAAAACATATTGATACATATTGGTATAGCATAACATAAGATATACCCTCTGCTTATTGAACATAGCCATGGGAAATGACCCACAGAAATAGATGGGTTCCCCCAGATTGCAGGTGGGTGATGGCGGCATCTTTATGGATCAGGTGAGTCCAGCTTGGAAGGTCTCCTCCAGGAGCCGGGTGTGAAACCACCAGTCAGCTGCGGCTGGTGCTGACTGGAACCATGGAATTTTTCATGATTTTCCAATTCACTTGGGAATGGAAAATCATCCCAACTGGACTTGACTAATATTGTTCAGAGGGGTTGGTATACCACCAACCAGATTGATATATATATTTTTTTTGAAACACCATGGCTTAAGCAGCCTGCTTTTGTTGCAATTACCCAACATGGTCGGATTCTTGACAATGGAACATTTGATGTTTGACGAATTTGATCAACGGTCAACGCACTGCAGCAACACACATGTTGGCAGTTTGTGATCGTAAATCATTCCATTTTAGGTGACAATTTTGGATTGACAAGAAGAAACATGAAAGCACCACTTAGTAATTGGAGATATCCCGGGAGGCCCCAGGACGGAAGATGAAGGCAATGTTGGTGTGGAAAATGGGTGAAATTGAGGAAGATGGTCCACGCAAAAGGCGCCTTGTTGTGTTTATTATATATGTACGAATCCACAATTACCCCATTTACCCCAGTGATAGCCAGTGAAGACGGGACATTTAGTGACAGGGAGCAAGACAAGATGACAAGATGTAGCAATGAATTCTGCGTGATGGCTACATGTGAACTGTTCAAAGATAGTCTTGGATGAGGTTGCTTACGTTTGAAAGTACGTGGATATTCAATGTTAAGTAATGTTAAATAAATATATATATATATTCCTAGATACCTATTGCATGCACAGATAATTCTATTCACATGGATGCACATGTGATCCCATATGTATATTGGTTAAACAAATACATTTTGCAGGCGCTTCATGCACAGTATGGACATTTACCAAAGACCAGCCAAAAACCGAACCAAATGTAGGTAAATATTTTCAAGTATGCCATTTATATATGAGGCGCCGTATATGGGTTTATGATGGTTTATGTATGTTTGCAAAACACCTTTCAATTTCCAGCGCACCGCAACGCCGTTCGTTGGCTTACAACCTAGTAGCAGCCGTGAAGGGGAGCACGAGCTGCTCAAAAGGCTGTGGCCAAGGGGGTGCCAAATCAGCCTCTGTTGATGGATTATGATTATGATATATGATGATAGATACAATATGATACAATGATATAGGGTGATTTCACCACCAGATCTGGGTTTCAACCATTTCCATGGGTGGATGATGTTTGATTTGTTACTGTTTTAGTGGCTTACATTACCTTTCATCACCTATCTATTGACCAGCAAGTATGATGGGATCGGATGGGGCCGGATGGGGGTATTCTTCAAGCGTCAAATGTGGATTCCCATAGTTAGCCAAGTTGGTTTCTAGCTAGTTCCAAGTGTCAGGGTATGATATATCTTGGCAAGCCCGCGTTTGGTGGATTTCTAGAGAGATTAACAACTCCTCGGGTGTTCTCTTATTTCCATCGGAGTTTGTGGGATCCAAGAATAGCAGTGACTTCAATCACTGATGTTTTTGGAACCGGTTGAAGCCACCAATGAAATTTAGAAGAAGAGCCTCGTGGCAAGTTACAGTAGTGTATAGCACCATGTGTATATTATAACAGTGCATTGTATAATCCCATCACCTTAATAAGTTAATATTAGACACCCCATATATTTTCCCAATTATGTAGAAATTCCCCACCTAAACCATGGTTTCTAAGGGCGTGTTTAATATTAGGAGGAAGGGATTAACATGTTTTTTTTTCTGCCCGTCAGCCTTGTCATAGACCCTTTCGGCCAGGGGACGTGGACGCTACAAGTCATGGCCACTGTGATCCGGATGCACCGCTGCGTCACCTCTGCACCTCTGCGGGTTCCGAATCTTAGAGGGTGGGGACGTTGACATCTGAATGATCGATAGAGTCTGGTTGCTTCCAAAATGTTTCAAATAAGTATTTAACTGATGTTTCCCCGAATTTTTGGGATGATTTTTCAAAGATGTTTATTTTGTTTAGGTTGTTGTTGCTGACTCTATTGGTTGAATATGTAACATAAGCATGGTACCATGAACAGATTTCCCCTATGTTCTCGAGCATATTGCAGTGTCTAAACGTTGTCACCGCAGGAAACTTGCCTCACACACAACAATTGTTCTGAGTGAACATTCCTGACGGAGAAACAAAAGCACAGGTGAAACAAAACATGTAAAGAAGTATTATTGAAAACATCGGGAACATTGGAATTTAAGGTGTTGAGCAATGTTGAACACCTATATGGATATGACTGCATTCTTCTTAAGCAACCACAACATATTCTTACATATATACATTGTTATTCTCGAAAATATTTGATGAACTTTGACCCAGAAACTTGTGTACTTAAAAGTGAGGGAGTTGGCAGCACGGAGCGTCCCTTGAGTGAGTAGGATTGGTGGAAGCAGCTGGCACGAAACAACTTTGAACCCAGCTTTTTGATGGAAAAAATCAGAAGTTGAAAAACGCTCTTTAGAATGGACAGGGTTGGCTCAGAACGTTTGCTTCGAAGCAGATTATGTTCTACACGGACTAGTCTAGTTTAGAGGTTAATTCCATCATTGAATGGGGGCCAATACACCATATGATATGGTTTAGTCTCAAAAACTCGAGAATGGATGGACCCCAATTTCTGGCCCCAAAAAAAGGTGACAACACAGTTTTCTAAGGCATGGTATGGACTGGGCTTCCAACTTATAAGACGATCCGAAAGTCAGGCAGCAGAATTGCAGCAAGAACCATGGATCATTTCATATTGGATATTTCATAATATGTATATATATATACACATCGATATATGTGTATACAGTATACAGTAGTATAATTTTATTTATTAATATATGTATAATATGTGTATACGAATGCATGAAACAGCATGAAACCATTGCATTCGCAGTCCGTGACTGTACTCGAGATCAAGCCACAGCAGGTTCTGTCGCGCTGTGTGACTTCCGGCGTGGGCGAGTTCAGACGTAACGCCAAGGTGGGCTTCGGGCCAGGTCGGGAAGTGGATGGAAATGGTGGTTTCATGGTTGTTGAATGTGAAAAACACGTCCAAACATATGGAGGTTAGGAAGTCATGGGCGTACCCCCAGTTATCATCCATGTTTTTTTTGGATTGTTTTTAAAATTCACCATCCAGCCATTGGGGTACCTCCATGACTATGGAAACGAACTGATTCAGGTGCCGGGCGTGACCATCGTCTCGGACGATGCCACGGCGGAGCGCGCACTGCAAGTGCTGCAGAGGTGCTGTACAGCATCGGGTCGGAGTGGGGGTGGGGAATGGAGGGTCTAAGCCTTTTTTTAAAGGGTGAATATACGATGGTATGAAATAGAACAATATGAATGAAAAGCAAGATTCATGCGGTATATAAAAGTATTTCAGCTTTAACATCATGTGTTTGAAGGTACATAATATATGACACATATGGTTTTATAGCTGTAGAAATGTATAGCTATGTTAAATTACTAGCTGGTGTGTATACATTTGCGATTACCATCTGGTTTTGACTAACAGTTTGCCATGGAAAGATCCACCATTTTTAAGAACGGTAAACCATCTATTTCTATGGGCCATCTATACCATGGCTATGTTAGTCATAACCAGATGGTGTGTTTCCTCATGTTTGCTGGGTATCTCAGACTCCACCGTTGTTGGTCCATCGGTTGGTTGCTGATTTGTCCAGCAGTTATAACTATGAAAAAAACAATCAGACTCAATTCCTTGGTTTTCATGGGTTTAAAAACTAACTTAGCCTATAACCACCAAACATAAGCAGCGATAATTGATAAAGGATGTGGTTGATGATTTGGTTTGTGGGTAATACTGCCCCTCCTGTATCCATGAATATCATCATTCATGAGCTGGAAACCTATGAAACCCAATCTTCGTGTGGGAGATGTCCAAACATATTTTCGAAACCGGTCAGTTGTTGGTTATAGTATAGTTGTGGCCTTGTTAGTTATCTGAGATTAACAAGCATCCAAATGCTGAGAACTGCTGGAAATTTGGCTTTTGCATCATGTCATTCTGTTTGTGCCAGGTTATGTGTGTCCCATATGATCTTATGTGTTTAATAGATTTTAATAGTGAGGAACAGTGTATAAACGAGGTTTAAGTATCTCACAATGTGCAAGGGTTGACTTGTAAGCTCTTCATAGTTGGAACCGCTTTTTGGTACTAAAATCCGGCACGCCCGGTTATCAGTTGCTATTTTGTATAGTCCCATCTCATTACAGATATGTCCATCATAAATCCCATATGCTCCATGTATGGCATATTTACCTACATTTGGGTGATTTTTAAGGCAAATGTTGGTAAATATTCCATACATGGAGCATATGGGAATCCTAGCAAGGAGACATACATGAACTTATCTATGCCACTCGCCGGCCGGCCCCACGAACGACTCGGCTCGCAGCGTTTTTCTGCCGAGCCAACAAAGTCGTCTGCCCCACGGTTAGTGTTCGGCGAGGCGGATCAGTGGTGGTGAAAGGGGTGATCCTGGGAGCCACGAAACATCATTTGGGTTGACTGAGTGGGGCCCAGTGAATTCCGACTTTCGAACTCATGGCTTACATGACTAAGTTACGGCGTTCCCGTAGCCCCGATGCGCCAGATATTGTTCGAATGGGCGGACTCAGGCCGAGAAGACTAACCACTGTTGTAATTGTGGATGACATACCCAAAAATACTTCTTCTTTACTTGGATGAGCCATGGAGCTAGTGATTACAATCGGGATGTAGCGCTGTTTATAACCCATGTTACTAACAAGGAATCCCGTGTCTCCTATGGCCCCTCTGATATTTCAAAACAATGTCTGTTTTCGGCGAAAAGTTTTCGGGGCCCAAAACTTCGAATGACGAGCCCGGCCCGAACACCCCAATCACCAACTATCCACAACCATCCACCGAATGTGTCCTCCCTGTTTCTTTGATTCTGGCAGAAAAAATGTGGAATGCGTTGCTGATTGTCTCATTGGACGTATAGAAAAAGTCTATGGGGATGGCTTTTGAAGCCTTGGTGCTCATGAAGCGTCCCACGTGCTTCCTTGATTGCAGCTAGTGAGAAACGGCGCTGGTGTGGGCAAACTTTCCGTGTTGCAGGACATCTTCCAGATTGCAGCAGTTAGCTGGCTACTTGGCAACGCGATTGACGGGCTATCCGGTTGTGCCTTCGCTGGCGTCCGGTTTTTCGATGCCAGCGGAAGATGTGGTGAAGGTCTTCAAGCGCTTTGACAAAGATGCCTGGCAGATTGGGGATGTGGTGGGACCGCAAGTTGCCATCCCAGTCCCAGTGATTCGTTTTTTTGGGGGGGTTTGGTCATGGGGAAGCGATGAAAAATGACCTGGTCTTGGGGTACGGGTACCTGAAGTTTGAGAAATATCGAAACATCCACTTGTAGGATGATTTGGGATGCTGCAAGAGTTTGAAAAAGAGATAGGGTGAATCACTAGCAGTTTCCGTGTCAACGACTATTGGTCCTTAGACAATCTCAAGCTACAGTAAAATAGATATGACATTTGTGCACACTTTGCTTTACATCTAGTCATATAAACGCATGTCTTGTTCTTATATACATGTGCTTCAGTACCGTACAAACTGTGATGCATACCACACGGTACTAATTACATGTCCTTATATAACTGTATGTACTCCGCAGTGTCATTGTGGCTGATGAACACCCAAAGTGGGGAAGGCCCCAGTCCCACACGCATTGCAGATCATTGCTGCAAAACAGGCAGTCCGTTTCAGGAGTTTATCAGGCTGTCACCATTGGGAATCAAGCCTACGTGTAAACACCATGGCATTCTGTTTTTGGATTTACATCCATCCATACAAATGGGTTTGACTTCTGAAATAGTTTTGTCATGTTTTGTCCGAAAATTGTGGACCCCAAAATCTAGTGGTGTCTCATGATTTCCCCCAAGATTCAAGCGTCTTGAAATGTCTTGAATCTTGGGGGGGTATTAACCGACACATTCCATGAAACATTGGTCGCCGATCCCGTGGCATCACACGGTATTGTAAGATCCCATCTGGGTAATGGATTTAATACACATTAAAATCCCATAGAAAAATCCCAAAATTCTTAATGTTATATAGTTATATATATATATATTAAATCCCATTGAACCCCATTAACTCCCACGATTATATATGATTATTATATCATGGGGGGCGATCTTTTTCACGTGGCTGAGGATGGCAACGGAGCCATCACCCGCAAAGAGTAGCCTGGTTGATTGGTAACGAACATGTGGGGCTTATACGAAAAATAGGGAAAACAAAAATACACCAGCCATTTGGGAATGGCTTATATAATAATAATATATCAATCTATTATGTGTGGTTGTTTTACCCACATTACCTCACATTTACTCGTGATTATGATAAGCCATAGGATTGGGATTTTCGTTTTCTCTTCAACTCGTGGGATGCGACTGTTTCCAGAAACATGGGGAGTTCACCAGAAATCGCAGGATGAGACGATGGGTTTCTTCTGGCGTTGTTTTTGTCCACCAACTTGGGAATTTCATCAAACAAATCCGGTTGCGAATGGAGAGAGGGAGAGAGATGAAATTCCGATTTTTAGAAACACCTTTTCAAGGTGTTTCTAGCGAATGGAGAGAGAGAGAGAGAGAGAGAGAGAATTGATGCAGCTGATTGGGGCTACAGGCCCAACCTCATGTGGGGGCATAATGTGGGACACGACATGACGGGCATATAATGGGATATAATACGATATAAACATATAGAACCAACACTATGATTTTGGTGTGTTTGAAACCAGGTAAAAGGGCACGGAGAGATGATGTTCCATGAGATATTGGCGTGCAAAACCAGTTTTCACACAAATCTGAATGATCCCGAAAATCATATAACAACCTCGCCAGCCTCCCTACACTCAAAACTAAATGATGGTTTAGGGGCCAAATCCCCTTGAATGGGATCACTCCAGATTGGCGGATTGATGGAGCAATTCGCTCAGTATGGTTTTTGGATGGGTTAAACGGTTAAACCAGTCCAAGCAAGGCCAACGCTGCTGGCGACGATGCAATAATATGATTTGCTACAGTGATGACCATTTATTAGTTATAACTGATTACAACTGGGATTATACATTCTATAAATGGGGTTTTGTTAGTAGTTATAACTGGTAAATGGCCATAACTGTAGATTTACAAGAGCCGATCGGCATGGCATGCTTTGGGTTGTACGCTTTGATTAGTCATCCTCGGTTCGTCTGGAAAGAGGGCACCCCAAATTCCAGAGGTTGGTCAGTTCCAGTGAACTAAGTTCAATGGGAGATCTCCAGGATCCTAAAATGGAGGAGCTGTACAGTATAAGGCCATATTTTGGGGGGTATATCCCCTTACATAGGCCTTACATAGGCCTTACATATGGTAGGTACCTCCAATCTAGGTTCCTGACATGGCCATTGATAAGTAGATACGTACATAGTTTAAGTTGGGCCCCATATCCCAACTCATGATGGTAAAAATCTCATGTTTATACGCGTGAATATCACCCCAACTGCAGCCCCAGGTAGGTGATCGTCCATTGTTTTTCCATGAAATTCCATTTTACTTTCCAGTAAATCACCCATGTTTCATCCCAACTGCAGCCCCAAACTGGAAAAGTGCATAAAAATGCGAGGTGTTCAATGCTTGAACATTTGACACCGCACTAAACCGAGGTTGTCGGAGGTGTTGACCGCCTTGAATCCCCAGGCGCTGGTGCAGCATTGCTGTCGCTTCGAGCACCACAAACCGATTTTTTGAGCTGATGATTTACCAGATATGTTAGATAGGTTGGTGGTTTGGAACACTTTTTATTTTTCCATATATGGGGAATAATAATCATCCAACTGACTTTCATATTTTTCAGAGGGGTAGGTATACCACCAACCAGTAACTCAAGCTATTTTCTGATGGCCCATTGATGATTTACCTATTACACATGATCATTTCCAATAGCTATGTAAGTCTGGCAGAAGGTAATGGCAAAGGAGTTTACATGCGGAACCATTTCTTTTGAATATCTTGCGGGCCCACTACAACTATATCCTGCACAAAAAGGGCGCAGTTTGGTTGAAAAGTTATTCCTTCATTACCTCCGTCATACCAGGGTCCAACCAATCGTAAATATATATATATATACATGTATATTACATATTTAAATGCTTGCAAGCAGGATAATTATACAAATACTGGTTGGTGGTTTGGAACATTTTTTATTTTT